ACCTTGAAGAACCCAGTTTTAAACAAAGGGGAGAATCAAATTCATTCTCCTCTCTTTTGTAATCGGAATCCAATTGTAATCGATTTTGAGAGAATACAGATCAATTTTTCTTTCGTTTCTTTTACATCGAATTTTTCCACAAACATTTCCTTTTGTGATTACGGACCATTAGTAGTTCATGACTTAGTGGCTTTGCGCGTCATGAATAAGACATAGTGACATGTGTGTGCATTGACTGAATTAGGAGGTAGACCAGAGATCAATTGTAGATCATGATTGTTGACTTAGAAATACTAGAGAGTTGGGATGGGGAAGTCATAATTCATGTGCTCGGATATGATTGTTGATATGTCTTCCAGGATCGCGCAATTGGCCGGTGTCGCCTTTGGTGTTGGTTTGTAAGGCCTGAGTGAATGTGTGTACATCACTTTGTTCAGTGAGGATCTAAATTTAAAGAATTTATTTCCGACACCCAGGTTCTGTTTGAAGTTCGGACTAGGCAAGAAACAGATTGCGTGTAATCCTCTAAGCCACATGTGTAGCGGGATTGGATACACGTAGGGGATTTGTGAACGGTCAGATATCCGAGGATGTGAATGTTGACTCTGTATGAGATGTGGACCAGTGACCTGTTGTAGAATGACTAGTTGCATGACTCGTTACTTGGTTGAGTACGAGTTGTTTGTAAGATACGGACCAGTTACCTGACATTGTTACTTGGATGATTACGAGTTGTGAGATACAGACCAGTTATGCTTCTTTTTATACATAGATCGGGATTAATATTTAATTATCTACAATTCGAGACATATGGTATATACATGATGGTTTCCTTGTTTGGATTATTTCGCTCGACGTACTACGTCTCACGTTGTAGATTTTTAAGTATTAATTCCATCTAGTGTATGACCCTATTACTTGGATGATTATTCTGATCCCTTGCTGCATGATCTGATTACTTGATTGATTTTATTAGATTTCCCGTTGCATGTTTCTTTGTCATCTCTGTTATTGCATCGTTTTCCGCTTGGGTTTTCGTTCGCTCTATTTGTTTTGTGGGATCTTGTCGTGTGCCATGCACGTTGACATACACCTGTTTTCTCTGGTGTACGTTAGATTTAGAGGACGGACATGTCCAGCTGGGAGATATGCCAGAGCCAGATGATCCAGAAGTCAAAGTGTAGTTGTTTTATTTAGTTGTTCGATGTTCCTTGTTTACTGTTGTAGCACTTTCCTTTCAATCTGATCGATGTATATTATATTTTTTAGTATTTCATTCAGATCATTTTGTATATGGGCGTGTTGACCCGAATATTATGTCTGGGATGATGTTCAGTTGTGATATGTATATTTTCTGTTCTGTGTTGTTTATTATATTCTCGCTACTATGATCGGGGACTTGTGCATTCGCTTTAAATTGTTTGATGCTTAGCGTATTAGATTGAGAAGATGGGGTCTTGCACTTATTTCTCCTTTGTCTAATACGTTGTGGGCTTGCTCGTGTCCCGCTTCCCTGGTATTTTGGGAAGTGGGGCGTGATAAGCATCCTAAAACCCGACTCAATGGCTTGTACTAATAGTATATCGATGCACTATCCCAAGTAGTACTGAGCGATGCTCATCAACGATATCCATACATGTATATAATGTTTAAATAACTCATATTCCAAGTGTGGTTAAAAACAATACCTGTAATAATCCTCTCCAAGATATCTGTGTGTGTGTGTTACAATACTATTCACATATACTCATGATTGTACGTGTGTCATCGTGCGGCTCGAACCCCACACTCACGGTCAAATGTTGCCAAAATAACCACTCAAAAATAAATATAACACAGGTCGGTCGACCGCCCTTAGGACGTCGGTCGATCGAAAGAAACCGTGCACACATTGTGCATGTTCAGGGCCTCACCTATCGACCGACTAGTCTTGGTCGGTCGACCGGCCAGAGAGGAAAACACAAGTTCAGGTTTTTGATGTTTTGTATTTTATAACTTAACTTAAAAACTTATTTTTATCACCATGAGGCATATAACAAGATTAAATCTTTCATATTTACTTAACAGGATTTAATTCATCATGATATAAACACTTGAATTAAACTAATTAGGTTTTAATAGCCTAATTAATAAAAATTTCTCAAATAACTTAATTTATAAATATTATTAAGTAAACATGATAAATTCTAAATATTAAACAGAGATAAATTCATTTAAACATGCTCACATCATTTAGGTACCATCAACCTAGGGTTTAGGCCTCTTTAATTAGTAAGAAAACTCAAACAATTATTAAACTAGGGTTTAAACATAATTTAAGCATGATTAAAAAGTTAAAAACGAAATTAAATACAACACTAATAATCATGATCATTAAACTAATATAAACAACAACTAAAGCTACAGATTTTCACATTGGTTTAAAAATTAACATCATAAACTAAGATGTTAAAACATCGGGTTAAGGTTAAGCATGAGATTCATCAATTAAAGATATTAAATCTTGAATTAACTATAGGGAGAGGTTTGGAGGAAGATGATCTTGCCTCAAACGTTGTGTTGAACTCCTGAACACGTGGGTGCAAGTTCCCTCTTCACCAAAGTTACAAAATCTCGCCTTCCTCTCGACAAACGCCTCAAGAACTCTCTCAAATCTAACAAATTATGATTAGGGTTTGGAGAGAGGAAGAGGAGCTACTAGGGTTTGGAATACTAATGAAAAGATGTATTTTTCGTGTGTAAACATGTATATATAACTGCAAACCTGAATCAAAATAGCCCAAACCCGAAACAGGAAACCTAGTGAGACTGAGAAAATAGTCTTCGGTATTTTTAGTTTTAACTTTCACGTCCGATCTCAGAATGGGGTGATTTAAGATGCGTTGGAAAGCTATTGAAGATACTTATAACTTTTGTCTCTTTGTATTTTTCCAGATTTTAACTGTATCGGTGTGTAATACATATATACTCTTAACTGGTTATTTTTCCAAATTTCTTCTTTGTGCATGTTTAACCTTTGTATACTCTCATATATACTCTTAATTGATCTCAAATTAATTGTTAGTATAATCATTCATCCATAAATGATATTCATCATAATTAGAGCTCGTTTATCAATATAATTCATACTATTTTCTAAAATTCACGGGGTTTTACACGCACGACCCTCGTGTTAGCAAGAGGGAACGCGATCCTCACATTAGCTTGAGGCTGGTAGCGACCCTCGCGTTGCATAGAAACACAACCCTCGCGTTTGGACATTTCTTCATGTAGCAATTAATACTACATGCAACAGTTACAATAATTAAGTTATTTGCTGTTACAATCATAATTATCATTATGATTTGTAACTGTCAAATGACCATTGATCTGGCCTTAGAGGCCTATAAATAGAGCCCCTTGGGGCAGCTCTCAAAGAGACGAAAAAAACACATTGAAGTATTTAAGTTGTTGTGCTACTGCTGCAGAGTTTGAAAGTGTGCAAGCTTTAATTTGTACCCAAACGAACAGCGCCCTGAACCGAAAGGTTATTATAGATCGAAAGATCTTTGTCTTAACCGAAAGATTTTTTTAAACCAAAAAGTTTAACAGATCAAGGAAATACTTGCCTGAACCGAATGGTTTTGAACCGTAAGGTTTAACAGATCGAGGAGATGTTTGCCTTGACTGAAAGGTTTTATAGATCGAGGAGATCCTGACAGTACTTGGTCGGTGCACACCAGTGTACTGTATTGTTGTTCCTGGAAGCAGTTTGGTATTAGGATCCTTATACCGAAGTAGGTCAAATATTGCTTTAAGTATAATGTTTATAAACGCATACCGACTAAACTTGAAAAATTTTAAAAATATAGCACTTCAGCTATCTAACAGATATATCTGTTTTATTTCAGATTTAACCACAAGCGTCAACAACTTTCCTGGTAGTGCAGAGATCCGACTCAGTGATGGTTACATTAATTTAATTTTGGTGAGGGGAGTTCATGGAGCCAATGGTTGAAAAAGAAGGGCAAGTTAGTTGAACACAAGGTGTTGCTTTCATGTCCTTGTCCTCTCCGAACTCGTTCTTTAGTTTCTTCCTCCTTGACTTGTTTATAGAGGATTCCGACATGGCACCTAACTGATTAGCATAGTGTAATCAGGTCAATGCCATTGCAAGGGTAGTTTTAGCTCTATTTTTTTTTTTGTGCGTATGTAGATATATAAAAATAGATGTTCAACAACTTTCATTATTATTAGTGTAGGCCGGTTTAATTGTGGCGGTTTAATTGTGGATAAACCCCCAATAGTATTGTCCAGTTGTAGATAGATCCTATGTAGTTTATTTTTGTGAACAGACCCCCTCTAGTATTTGGCTAAGTGCGAGTAGGAACCTCATCAATTATTATTTTTAACTATTTTTAAAACTAAAAAAATTAGCATTTCAGGATCATCTTCACCAATAGAACTAATAAGGATCTACCGTTTGTCTAACTCTTTTAGAAGTCTAAAAAAATTCACTTGGGGGTCTATCTGTACAAATAAAACTACTAAGGATCTATCCGTGACGCTAAGTCTGTTCGCAATTAACCCTTTTTAATAATGCTAATGCTAAGCTATGCATGTGCGTTCCATTTGATGCAGAACAATATGAGTCGGCCTCATGAGGAAAGAAGTAAATTTGAGAAATATACGCCCCTTCAAGGGAAACACAAGCTGCACCAACCACCATAGGCCTCTTATTCGCACCGAGTCATTTCGTCCGGGTCTAAAGGTAAACCCTCAACAAGGAATCACACTGATGGACAAATCCCAGCGGCCTCTTTCATTCCTTACTCATTTTTTGCTCCGACATCCCAACCACTACAGCCCCAAAAACCTTAACCTGATCCAACATTATTAGCCTCTACCGCATCATCATCATATAAATATTAGCTTGCATACGGCTTGCTTGGAAGTAACTAAAACAAAGAGTTAGGTTTTTTTTCTCTCTCCATTTATATATGTATATAGAAAACCTAAACTGCTCTCCCAAGTCTTCCATCTTGTGAAGTAAAACCTGAGAGAAATGATGAAGAACGTAGCATCTAAATCTACGGCGATCAAGGCCAATCTCATCTTATTCGCCTTCTTCCTCGTCGTGTACGCTGCCATTCTACTTCAACCGCCGCCTTTTGTTGACCTAAACGCCACTTCTTCTCCTCAATGTCCTTTGAATAATTGTCTTATGATGAAGAAGGTAAGGTAAGTAGCCCTTCCTAGTCTCTCACTCAAAATGAAAATGTAATTGAATTAGTAATTACAAGATTAACGAAGAAAGTCACAGTGCATATTGTTTATTTTGTTTATGTTCATTAATACCACGTTGCCAAATGTAACGCCAATCATGTTTTAGCCCACAGAAAATGCAAGTAGAATCCAAAATGGCCATGAAAACGGTTGCAGGAGTTGGAGAGACTTCAATAACGTCAAAGAAGGAACTCCCTGCAATCTTCAAGTCACTGCAAGGACAAACAAAGAATATAGGCCTAATAAACATAGGAGACGACGACCGATCCATCGACTGGCAATCAATTGGAGAGACAACCATCGTCACATTCGAAAGAGTTTCCGATAGCATTAAATGGAAGGATCTATTCCCCGAATGGATAGACGAAGAAGAGGAGCACGTGACCCCATCGTGCCCGGAGGTCCCAATGCCAGACTTCTCATTGTATGAGGAGGTCGACGTGGTGGTTGCGAGGGTGCCATGCCGGAGGCCTAAGGAAGGGTGGTCACGTGACGTGCATCGGTTGCAGGTGCATCTGGTGGCGGTGAACATGGCTGTGAGGAGAGGGAGGAGGGATGGGAAAGGGAGGGTTAGGGTTGTGGTGGAGAGCGAGTGTCGGCCTATGATGGACGTGCTTAGGTGTGATGATGTGGTGGGAAGGGAGGGGAGGTGGTGGATGTTTGAAGTGGAGGGGGTGAGGTTGGAGGAGAAGGTGGCTTTGCCTGTTGGCTCTTGCAAGCTAGCTTTGCCTTTGTGGGAAGAAGGTATGCGTTTGACTTGCCCTCTCTCTATAGTCTATATAGATGCTCGCATAGACAATTTCATTTTCAAATGGATAAGCTACATCGAAATCTTTTTGCGTATTAACGGGTATTTAAGTTGTCACACAGTGATGATTTTAGTAGACTCGATCAAAATAATTTTATTTTAAAATTTTGTTCGTTTTAAGAGAAAAATGTGTTTCATGCACCAATTCTAGGGTTTAGAGCGGAATCTAGGACTAATGAAAGATCAAACGAACAGCCAAACCAAATAACAATCACGATTCAATATATACATGAGATTTTATGGGGTTTGACAACGAACATAGCTAAGTCTATGGTAGAAGGGGAAGAAACGTCCTTTACAGACCGTAATAAATCACTCTTTTCTCTTGCAAATTTTCGCAAAGTGCTCTTTTTCTTTAATTTTCTTGATGATGTTCTCTCCCTCCGTCAATTCCTTTATTCAATTTTCTCGATCATGGCAAGTTCCTAATTAAAGAAAGTTTACCAAGTGCAATCTTTTACAAGGAAAATCCAAACACATCCCATTTAAAGGACAGCAAATCACGAAACAACACCCGTACTTGACCGAGTTTGATTGGCTGAGAGTCAGCATCTTCCGACTCGTTAATTCGCTTTTCGAAGAACTTGACCAAGCTTGATCGTGTCTTTGGTTGCTTTCCAGACCTTGGACTGAGCTCTGGGCTCCAAACCTTCGATCTGATGACATGATGTTGGCTTTCTTCCTAACTACGTGCGTACGTACTTCGTGACTGAAGTTTATCCGGTTGAGTCCTACTAGCTTCTTCTGTAGTGCAAGCCGTACTCAACAGTTGTTGGGATGTATTGTCACATAATAAGTAAAATCATACCTGTATATGTAAGAGGTCCCTCTTTCTCTAGAGGAATTTGACGGAAAAAATTTAAAAGCCGGGTCCAATTTGAACTTCTCATAATTCCAGAAAAAAAACAAAAAAACTGAGAACTACAGAATCTTGTCGAAATTTTATTTTGTTAAAGAGTCTAAAATCTTCATCTTATCATCTAAACAGCCTTAGGTTATATTTTACTAACTTTGTTATACATTAATGTGGTGTGCTATCTAAAATATGAAAGAATATATATCTATATATCTATATATATATATATATATATATATATATATATATATATATAGAAAACATACGGGACTACTAGTCCCGTATGTTTAGAGCCAACTAATCACGGATTAGTGACTCAGAAAACATACGGGATTAGTAGTCCCGTATGTTTTCTGAGTAGAAAATTTTACTAATCCGTGATTAAAACATACGGGACTACTAGTCCCGTATGTTTTCTGAGCTGTTTTGCAAAATAGACCTCTTTTTTGCCTGTTGGCCAAAAAGAGGTTTATTTTGCTAATTATTTAGCAAAACGGTTTATTTTGCTAAATAATTAGCAAAAACGGTCTATTTTGTAAGTGAAACATAAAGTATTCTTGTACAATTTTGTGCTACAACAACCCCAAAGAAAAGGATGGTTATAGTTGCTGAGCCTTGATAGACAGCATTTTTTCCACAATTCAAATTTCTTATTTGGATTCTCACACGTTAGCATAACTTATAACTTTCAACTGCTTAAATAATTAATTCATTTTAAAAGTCTTCTTGCTTAGGTTAACTACTTTTAAACTAATGATCTAACAGCTAGGAAACAACGGGAATATGAAAAACTGAAAAGCCTAGTAGTAAGAAAATTAAAAGTCATCCCAAAAAAGTGACCGCTAGCTAGCTTCAAGCAAGTACGTCTTAGTTGTTGCCATTAGGTATTTGCTTGTAGATCTGCAAGGTGGTTGAAATGGGCATGTGAGGCTAATATGCAGAGTTGTTGGGATTATGATATATAGGAAAACCAATAAAATATGGAAATGTTGAGTTCCAATTAAAATCGAAACAAAGAGGAATGTGGTTTTCATGAAAATATATATTCGATATTGATAATTGAGTGGGCTATTATATATTAAATTTAGCTAGTGATCCGACCAAGTAGCTCCGAGGAAAGCATGATACCACAAAGTTGACTCGATTGAGTGATAGTTTAAAAGGATTTGGTTTCCTTCCCTTGTGGTCAGGTAGTTGAGGAGAAACCACAGCGCGCGCGATTGTTGTCCGCACCTGCAGGATGTAGTCTGTTATTGATTAGTAAACAACAAGACATGAGGATGAGAACATTAATGCAAGAGTTCTATTTGAAGTGTGTACAATATAATTGTCACAATATTTTGGTTTTTATTCACATGATCTCCTAGCTAGCTCTTTTACATATATATTCCCGTTCACCCTCTTTTCATTTTATGTGAGTAAGGCACCCTGCCCTGCTTTATCATTCAATAAAGGGGCGGAAAGGAAGTGAATAAAGAGGATCCAAATTATCCTACTTTTTTTTTGGTAAATGAAAAATTTTATTCATTTCCAAAATGTAAGAAGTATATACATCAAGAATCTCTTGGTAAATGAAAAATTTTATTCATTTCCAAAATGTAAGAAGTATATACATCAAGAATCTCACTGTCAAAAAGGTGAGATATTCATTTCCAAAATGTAAGAAGTATATACATCAAGAATCTCACTGTCAAAAAGGTGAGATAGCCACTTACAGCTCTAATAGAAGAGCTCAACTCAGCAGTACAATAAAAGCAACAATCTACAGTATAACCTGTACAGTATCTGAATCAGATCAAAATTTTGCTTCCTCATCATGCATAGCACTCAACTTGAGAAAGCTCTATAATGAGAGGACCCATTCTCTGTGTTCATCCGGCAGAGTCTTGTTTAAAATAGCAGTCAGAATATCCAACTTAATGCTCTTAATCATGCAATCAGCAGTTCTACTTTGCTGCTTGAAAATTCTGCAGTTCCTTTCTCTCCATATATTATAGACAGTAACCGCTAGTGCCATCCTCTTGATTTTTTGCTTTAGACCACTACCCCTCAATCTGAAACTATACCAACCACTCCATAATGCAAATTAGTTTACATTACTTCTACCGTTCATTGTCTGAGAAAAAATAATTACAGTGTAAACTGATTATATATAGTGTTTAATTTAATGGGGTTGGGCATCAAATATCTAGAGTTAGCGTGGAATTCCAGAGATTCATAGTAAAGATATGTTAATTATTTTGATTTTTCGACCAAAAGTCAATATTCCCACGTCATGGAAAAAAATTAGGAAAATCGAGTTGGCGTTTACCCAGAAGTTCACGTTACATGAGAGAGCAGCAACTTTTATGGCTTGAGTTTCATTTGGTATAGGCAACTGTTGTACTAATGCTGATTATTTTTATTTTTATTCTTAGATAATAATTATATATTATATATATAAGGTTATAGCAAATGATGTATCTCACGTTAGGTTTTGCACATGCATGTGAACTGCCAACCCAAAGTGAATTAAAATACGTACTGAAGGTTCCCGGAATCTTAACCGTTATCAAATTACTAATCATTATATGATGATGAGTCATGTGTGCCACTAAATGTTTCTTAAATTATTCTCTCAGGGAGGTCCGGGATCGATACCCAGTTTCTTTAAATATTTAAATTGCAAGACCAAGATATACGGTTGTCTTTAATCGAAACAGCTCTAAATTTTCTGCGATAATTTTTTTTTATAAAAGTTAGAAGAGTAGCTAAATTCGACTCTAGCTATATGTGCAGCAATACAATTTTGAGTTGTCTAACTGCACAAATACTAACATCAATGAAATTACCAGTACATGACCGATCATTTTGAACCTAAACAGGCACCCACGAAGAGTACGACATCACCAAATTACATGCCAGCATCCCGCCACCTCGCCGAGAGGCCCTACGCCACCGTCCTCCACTCCTCCTCCACCTACGTCTGCGGCCGCCATCGCCTCGCCAGAGCATCCTCCACACTGGCACCACCCGCGACCTCATTCTCCTCCACGACTCCTCCCTCAGCAACCCAGCCTCACCGCCCTCTCCTTCTGCTGGGTGGAAGCTCCACTTAACAACCCGCATCCGCAACCCCCACGCTCACCCTAACTCCTACAACGAGTACAACTTCACCAAGCTCCGCCTCTGGCTCCACACGTACTACCGCAAGCTCATCTTCATCGACTCCGACATCCTCGTCCTCAAAAACCTCGACCTCCTCTTCACCTTCCCCCAGCTCTCCGCTGTCGGCAACGACGGTGTCATCTTCAACTCCGGCATCATGGTCATCGAGCCCTCCAAGTGCACCTTCAAAACCCTGATGAGGCGACAGAAGGAGATAGTTTCGTACAACGGCGGCGACCAGGGCTACCTCAACGAGGTGTTCGTGTGGTGGCATCGGTTGCCGAGGAGGGTCAACTTCCTGAAGAACTTCTGGTCGAACAAGACCGAGGAGGCGATGTTCAGGTCGGATCCGCCGATGTTGTACTCAATCCATTATCTCGGGCTGAAGCCGTGGTTGTGTTATAGAGAGTATGACTGTAACTGGAACCTTGAGGATCACAAAGTTTTTGCGAGTGATGTTGCACATAGAAAATGGTGGGAAGTTTATGATAGGATGGACGAAAGACTGAAAGGATTCTGTGGGTTGTCCAAGATAAGGAGGCAGCATCTGGAGGAAGAGAGGGAGAAGGCTGAGAGATTAGGGTTTGGGGATGGTCATTGGAGGATAAAGGTTGAGTGAAAAGTTAGAGAGATGTAATACTACTTATTTAATTACCGCATGTCCATAGAATTTTTTTACTGTTCTGTACGCACATAGAATGCTGCATTCTCTGTTGTGTTCCTAAATGCAATTATAATCATCTATCATTTAGTGATGATTGTAAATTGTCTACAGTGATTTTTGTATAGAGTGCCCATGGGCACTCTATAAGAGAAGAGAGATAGAGAAAAATGGATGAGGAAAGGATCCCAATGCAAATCAGGGCCCCCCCTCCTCCTTCATTTCTTTTTATGAGATATATATATAGTTTCTTCAATCCATTTTTCAGTGCTTTTTCTAAAATTTCTAGTTAGGGTTAATTTCACAAAAAACCCCTGAACTTCGGGGTGTTACACATAGCCTCCTAAACTTTGTTTATCTCACTTAACCCCTTGAACTATGGGGTATCTCACAAAACCCCTTTAAACTTTTCTTTATCTCATATAGTCCCCTTGTCTATAATTTGTAGATAACTAAAATTTTCTTGAGAGAAAAAATCTCAAAATTTTGAGAAGGCGGTATCTTACGTGAAAACGACAAGTGACAAAGTTTGAGAATTTTTTTCACTCAAATATATTTTAATTATTTATAAATTGCATGAAGGAGGGTTATGTGAGATAAGATAAAGTTCAGGGGGGTTTGTGAAACATTGTAGGCGTCAAAAATTACCTACGGGCCCTTGCACGCAGGTCGAAGCACAGAGAAGACGATGAACGTCACTATTTGAGTCAGAGAAGCTTAACTAACATCGATGAGCGCATGAAGTAAGTCGACGAACCGTGTGAAGCGACGGGACGACAGAATAGCGAAGAAACGGTCCAATCGAAAATTACATTTCACTTAAGAAAGGCAAAGCGTCACTCGTGTCTCGTCTACTCCACATATGATTCACCCATGGAAGGTTGTAGATTTTTTTCTTCAGCTTTCCAACGCATTTGGAATCGCGTCATTCCGAGATCGGACCGATGAATTATGGCGAAATCAGTCAAAAAGGGGAAAACGACGTCTCGGCCTTGGCCGAGATGATCAAGGTCCGGACTGTCCAGAACCACCACAGACTGTTCAGAACCGTTGCGGACAATCCAGAACCATCGTGAACTATCCAGAACCACCCAGGACTGTCCAGAACCACTACGAACTATCCAGAACTACCGCGGACTGTCCAGAACCGTCTCGGACTGTCCAGAACTGCCCGGACTATCCCAGAACCGCTGCGGACTATCCCGAACTACTCTGGACTGTCCAGAACCACCGCGGACTATCCAGAACTACCACGGACTGTCTAGAATTGCTGCGGACAGTCAAGAATTGTCGCGGACTGCCCATAACCGTCGCGGACTGTCCAGAACCGCTGCGGACTGTCCAGAACCATCACAGACTGTCCAGAACCGCCCCGGACTGTCCAGAACCGCTGCGGACTATCCAGAGCCTCCCCAACTGATTTGAGATTATCTATAAACGTGGTTAAGTGGTTATAACTGAGGATAAGAGTGAATCAACCATTCTTATCCGAAAACAGAGCTCCTGAAGCCTATAAATACAGCCCTAGGACCTTCATTTGCATAGATCTAAAATTTTTGAGCCTTGGCGAAGCCCTGCTAAATATATAAGAGAGTGATGAGCACGAATTTCAAGGAGGAGATCTAGGTGAGTTATTCAGCATAAAGAGGAAGAGTTCGAGAGATCTGCATCCGGTTCATCAACTTCCCTCGAAATCACACCTTGCTGTGATTCTCGAGAAGAGTGGGTATCTCACCTTGCTGAGATATTCACTTTAGTTTATTGTCTCCTTTGCGAGGCAACGAAACTGTTCTTTGGATATGATCATCTGGTGGTCCACGGATAAACCCCGGTACTGGCAAAGATCCCGCGCAAGCAGAAGACCGATAAATAATCTCTGCGTGTGTTGTCAGGAAATCTCTCTGTTTCTTTTCATTATAAGGAAAGTCTTATAAAAAGACTTAATTTTTCTTTTATTTTGAATCATTGTAACGCTTAAAGTTGTAATGAATTCGAAAGCAATGAAACTGATTTCCGACACGAACACGCTAGCGACCACAGTGGGAGCCAACAGCCTAACTGTTAAGGCTATCATACTGCAACCAAGGATCAAGATCCCGGTGAACGAAGAGGTCGAATACGAATTCGACCAGCAGAAGTTCGAGAAGTGCGTCTCCTCCTCCTCCTTCAGATCCGCCTCTCTTCGCAAGTGCAGGAAGGCCTCCTCCTCCCGAAAGATCAAATAGTAATTATTATTATTATTATTATTATTGTGTGTGGGTGTGGGTGGGGGGGGGGGGGTATATGCTCCCCCCTTAAACTTGTATAAAAATAGGCCTTTGAGTTTGAGAGTGCGTTGATGTCTTGGCTTCTGCTTCATCTGACTATACATTGAAGAAAACTGTGGGGTATATGCTTAAATTGTTGTTGTTCTTTCCCTTTAGAGCATGATAACCATGGGATCATCACAACCAAGAGCTCTTCTTTCTTGCTACTATAGATTTATGAGTCAAAATATTCCCTCAGTCCCACCCCAGAAACTATAAATTCAACGCTAGAATAATGAACAAATTTCAAAGTTAAACTAAACAAATTCCAAGGATAATAAATGTGACAGTTGCGAATCAATCACTTTGATCAAACTCCTTTCTCCAAAAAAATGCGGATAAGTTATGGGAGTAGCACCGTCCAACACCTGGAAAGAGTTGAAAGTGCGCGGAGAGTAGGCCGAGCACTTTCTCAGAAGGAAGAAAGTCGGGAGAAGCCAACAGACGGCTAACCCTCCAAATTCAAGCTTCGCCTCCCATGGTAAAGGGAAGGCCCCTACAGCTGTTGTTGATGCTAATCAGACGTCACAACAGTAATCCCGAGGGCAGCAAAAGACTTCAGGTCCAAGACTCCAAAAAGAGTACTCTTTTAAGGACGAAGACGTTCCAGCTATTTTCGAATCCCTTCTTGAGAACAATAAGATCAAGCTACCACCTATCACGAATCAGGAGGAAGCTGATAACACTGCAGATCTAAAATACTGTGCGTACCATAGGAGGATCTTTCATCCTACCAAGGCTTGCTTTGCTCTCAAAAATAGCATCCAAACCTTGGTTGAAGCCTGCGTCAACGCTGGGATAAGCCAAATGAGAACGACAAGACTCTGACAAGTATAAGAGTATAAACTGCTCATTATAATACTCCAAAGAGTATACGAGTATAAATTACTTCTCAATCCTTCAATCGGTATATGAGGTTAAATTGCTCCCTGATACTCTAACAGGTGTATGAGTCTAAACTGTTCCCTATCTTTGAAGGGAAGTTCCTAGAAAATTTTTATACATAATATTCTTAAGGATAACCCGGTCATGCAACTGAGTACAATGTTAGACCTAGTTTCGCGAAGGAAGCTGGGGATGGATGATTCATGTAACGGAAAGTTCTCGAAAGAATTATTAAAGTATTCTTAGGGATAACCCGGTCACTATAAGAAGGGGATGAATAAGAAACTCTCACTCAAACTCCCGCTTGGTCAAACCTTCCTACAGTTATGGCCAAAACCATAATTCACTCTCGATAAACGAGAAATTCACCTTTAGTTCGGTAATCAAACATTCCGACAGTTAGGATTATCCGAATCTTTTCGATTCTCGGAGTGAAGATCTCACTCTTAGTTTTACTCTTCAGATTCTCGAAGTGGAGATCCTACTTTGAGCTTCCTTTGTAACTGGAGATAGAATATAAAATTCTTCTTCTCCAGCATCGTATTCATCTTTGCCCCAATAAAAGACAGTACTTTTTAACTCCCAAAATCCGTGTCTTATACGCGCGGCAAATTTTATCCCAAAGCCTAAGTAGGGATAAGTCAACGCCTAACATGCATTGTCGGTTAGTCTTTAACAGTAAAAAGAACAAGAGCCCATATATTCGACATTATGGTAGGTTGTTATTAATAACATCATAATCCGTGCCTAACACGCGCGGGGAATTTTATCACGAATCCTAAGTAGGGATAAGTTAGCGCCTAACACGCGTTGCAGGTTTAGTCTTTCACCGATTGAAGAAGACACCAGAATCCAAGTCTGTGGAATTTTATCCTGAAGCCTAAGTAGGGATAAGTCAGTGCCTAACACGCGTTGCAGGTTAGTCTTTAACCGTAAAAAGGACAAGAGCCCACATATTCGACATTGTGCTAGGTTGTTATTAATAACACCATAATCTGTACCTAACACGCGTGGGGAATTTTATCCCGAATCCTAAGTAGGGATAAGTCAGCGCCTAACACGCATTACCGGTTTAGTCTTTCACCGATTGAAGAAGACACCAGAATCTAAGTCTGAGGAATTTTATCCTGAAACCTAAGTAGGGATAAGTCAGCGCCTAACACGCGTTGCCTATTAGCCTTTAACCGTAAAAAGGACAAAAGCCCACATATTCGACATTATGGCAGGTTGTTATTAACAACACCATAATCCGTGCCTCACACGTACGAGGAATTTTATCCCGAATCCTAAGTAGGGATAAGTCAGCACCTAACACACGTTACCGGTTTAGTCTTTCACCGATTGAAGAAGACACCAGAATCCAAGTCTGGGGAATTTTATCCCGAAACCTAAGTACGGATAAGTCAGCGTCTAACATACGTTGCCAGTTAGTCTTTAACCGTAAAAAGGATAAGAGCCCACATATTCGATATTATGGAAGGCTGTTATTAATAACACTATAATCCGTGTCTCACACGTACGGGGAATTTTATCCCGAATCCTAAGTAGGGATAAGTCAGCGCCTAACACGCGTTGTCAATTTAGTCTTTCACCTATTGAAGAAGATACCAGAATCCAAGTCTGGGGACTTTTATCTTAAATCCTAAGAAGGGATAAGTCAGCGCCTAACACGCATTACCGGGTAGTCTATTCCCGTAAGAAAGACGAAGTCTATGTATTCAATATCGTAGCACTAGGAGAGTTAACTCTCTTAGCACAACGTTACATATGAAAATGGGTTTAAACAATTCACATGCTAGCCCGATTCAAACGGTAATCAGTAAAAGCACATCAAACCCATTAAAGGCTGAGGGTTTACCAAAAATC